CCCTGAGATCACTCCTCTATATGAAAATATCAGATGAACAATACTCATGAGTATTTTGCCGAAAGTGGTATGAGTACTCAACAATACCCAAGCATGAGTACTCAAAGTCGTACTCAAAGTCGTACCCAGAGTACTTGTTACTCACTCATGAGTACCCAGGTGAGTACTCAGTGATTAAAAAAATGTATGAGTACGTATGAGTACTCGTCCGGTTTTTCTAGCAGAGTACTTTTTGAGTACTCACACTTGAGTGCATTCACTAGGGTAGGTTGACAGAAGTGTTCCTCTTAACAAAAAGTTGAAAAACACGAAAAATGTTCCGTTTCTAGTCTTTTCTAATAGGATTAAAGTAAATACTGATAAATGAAAGAAACTATCTTCTGTATAATTAAAAAAGAAGTAATTAAGAAGCGATCTCTTTTTATGTAAGCCGAAAAGAACATGGATTGACAGAAGTTAAAAGACAGATAATGAGGCAAAAGACAGATCGGCTCCCTTAATTACTTGATCCGTTCAAGTAATAAAAAAATGTGGTATGAACTATACTATAAAAAGAGTGAGATTTTCGACATATCTCGTTCCACAACTCTTCACAACGATCATGGCTGTTCCTACTGACAACCGAGAATTTTGCAAAATATTAAATGATGATGATTTATTATCTCAATTCGTTTGCGACCAAAATTTGGCTCAAAAAAGTGATGAACATACAGAACTATCAACTCAGACTGAATTTGCAAATAAAGTATCATGTTGTTATTATTATCTCGGACGTTTACTATGTGATAACAATGAAGAAAAAACATCGCATTTACAAGCAGCACTCAAAAATTATCCAAAAACCGAAACTAATTCTTATGAACTAACACACTGTTATATCTTATTAAGAGATATAAATAAAAATAAAAGTGATTTCAACGAAGCAATCATAAATTATAAATCAGCAATTGATTTCAGATGTGCCTGTAGGAAATGAAATCTTACATAAACTCGGAAAACAAACGCTACAGTTAATCGAACGTTCTCTGTTTATTTTAATACAGCATTTTATAGGGAAACAAAAACTAAGGGTAATTCAGACTGCGGATCTACTGTCGCAGAAATGTGGGTTCGCTGAGATGTCGACAGATCGTTTTACACTGTCCATACTCTCACCGCTCACCACACACTGCCAGAAATACCCAAATATGTACTTTGCAAAATTCGCAGTAATATCGTTCAAGGTAATGTCGCTGTATCGTATACAAACATGGTTGATAAGCTCTTAATTAGTTCTTATAAGCTTGTCAAAATGTATCAATTAGATTGAGAATAAAGGAGCTTTTCAAAATATATTCTGATCGTTCGGTCGTTAACCTGTATTCCCTTTATTAAGTTGATGTAGGTAGGGTGTGATATGATTTAGAACCGTTAACTGTCTAGTTTTGTAGTTGCATAAACCTATAACATGTGAAGTTAGTTTTTCTGTACAAATAAGGCGATAGATAGAAAAGGAATGTTTTTAGGTTCTGAAATGTATCTACACTTTCAGCTAAAAATTGGTGATTAATATTTGAAATATCGATTAACAGTTCTAAATCATATCACACCGTACCTACATCAACTTAATAAAGGGAATACAGGTTAGCCACGAACGATCAGAATATATTTCGAAAAGCTCCTTTATTCTCAATCTAACTGACACATTTTGATAAGCTGATAAGAACTAATTAAGAGCTTCTCATCCATGTTTGTATACTTGTACTTTATCAGAATAAAATTTATATACGATTTATACTCGAACAATCTTACAAATGTAAATCCTCATACAATTGGCTACTTCCTAAATGCGGCCGAAATTTAAGCCAATTAGTATAAAAGTGGACGCAATTAGGAACGAGTAAATTTGTATGATTCTGCGTTTCCAAATTGCGCCCACTTTTTAATTAGTGAGTAATCAATCATCGTAATTTAAAATATAGATATATAAATTAGTCGCTTTTTAGAAAAAATAGAAGTAGAAACATATATAAGAAGAATTGATGACTATATATTTATGTATTATATACAAAACGGTTTACTCTTAATTCGTCCCAAATTGCTCACTCTCACACCTGCTCGCCCCTTTGATGTTGTTTGATCTTACAAAGCCAATTTGGGACGAACTGAGAGGACACCATACAAAACAGCTATATCAATAAAGAATTTAATCTTCGTCATTACTATCTCCGGCATCTTTTATAACATCTATATACCGATGAGAAAGAGCTCTTAAAACTTTTTGATACCTATCAAAGTCTTCATCTTCGATATATTTTGTTTTTGCTAATTTAAGCTTCACATCATCACATATATTTTTCATTTTTCGTGGCCGTGTTATACGCTTTTGAACTTGTTCTTGTTCATGACGACACATAACAGATTCTTCAGATGAACGAACTTCATTAATCCATGTACTGAATATGTTGGTCATTCCAAATGAGTGCAATTTCTGAAATTAAGGTGAAATCCACTTTCTCTTTCCTACCTCCTTTTTTTATTAACAAAAGCAAA